CCCCCCTCTCCCCACGGCCCCCCTTCCACCCGCTGCACATTGGCCTCAGCCCCAGTTTAAAGGGACCAGTGACCTCACTGGCAACAGAAAACCGTGGGAAAGAGATGGGACTGATAAAGCCTTGAGTTGTTTCAGGGAAAAATCAACATCCAGCCCCACACGCACACACATGTCTGCCCGGCTCTGTGCGGCGCAGGCACTTTTCGAGACTTATGATTCAGATGGAAACCAGCTTATTCGAAGCGCGGTGCTGTTTGAGGACGCCGCTCAAAAGGCCCTCGCCTGGGATTAATCAGTGGCCAGGGCCGAGGGCCGGGAAGGCAGCGGTGACACCGCGCTCGGAGGCGTCGGGACGGGTTCGGCACCCTGGCACCAGTGCCATGGTGGTCCCGCCAGGAGCTCGGCCCCCTGCCACGCTCCCACAGCCTTGGAACGTCTTCAAGTGCCTGCTCATGGCACTGCCAGGGCATTTTTTTTTAGACCTACCCTGTAAAACAAACTGCCCAGAGCCCAACTGTAGGATTTACCACCCTAGGATGAATTGCTGTTTTCTTGTCTCATTCTATAACGCTGGAAACTTTGACCCCCAGCCCAGCATCTCAGGAGCATCTCGCTTTCCCTGAGCGTGCGGGAAGGAGGTAGGAGTCTGTTTTTCAGAGCCCTGCGCTGCTCAAATCCCCCAAGGCAGCAAAAACGTGTGCGTGTGGGAGAGAAGGAGAGAGAGAGAGGGAAGGAGGGAGCGAGCTGAAGTGGAGGTTCACAGTACAAAAATAATGCCTTTTATTTTGAAAAAGATAATCAGCGCTGAGATCTGGCCACACGTGGATTTCCCAAAGCCTTTTGCAAAGACCGTGGCGGCGGTAACGGCCCATCACGGCTCGGGCCAGCTGAGGCACCCCGGCCACCCGTCTGCCGTGCGAGGGTGCTCCCGATCTGCCTCGGCCGTCTCTGCCAGCTCACCCACGCTGCACCCGCCAACCCCGAAACGTCTGCAATCCCCCGGCGCCTCGCAAGCGGCTCCCGTAAAAAGCCGACTGCCAGCTACTGCCTGCCCTTCACCCACGCCTGCCCCAGCCCAGCACACAGCGGCTGAGCAAGGGCATGGCCCCCAGGACCATTTTTTGAGACCGAACCTCACCGTCCGCCCTCCCAAAGTAAACCAAGAGAGACCTGAACCAGCCATCCTGCATTGGACTGGAAACCCGACGGCGCAGAAGTGTTTGTAAACCAAAAAAAAAGGAAAAAAAGAGAGAGAATAAAACATTTGCTTTAGGTTATAGCACTTTGTTTCTGTAATTTTGACGTTTTGTTTTAATTTTCACTATAAAAAGCTGTCAAGAAACCGAGCTGTTGTTAGCTTACATTTCAAAATTAAAACTTACTTTGAACCAGAAGAATTAGAAATGTGTTATTTTAGCAATTTTGAGACCCACTCCTCCTCCCTTTCCAAAGTGATTCCAGTTAAAAATACGTACATCTCCAAACTAAACTTCCCATAAACATGTGTTTTTGAGAGATTAATTCTCTTCCCACTGATAAAACCACTTAAATGGGATCCAGAGATTGATTATTTCAGGCTCTTGCTCCTATCACAAAGAGCCTGAACCGAGCGGAGCCCAGACCTGCCACGGAGGAACACTTTTCTTCTCCATTAGAAAGGAATTCACTGTCCAGACTCCGTCTTTTCTGGGCCTTGTCTAAGCATCATTATCTGGGTTCAATTGAAGTGTAATTGGCAACATGTTTTTCTAGGATTACACTTCATTATGAACAGAGCGGGGGCCCCCGAAACCCACTTCTCCTGTAATCGGATCCGTTTTCCAGGCTGTGCTCCTGGAGAGTCGTTTATAATCGCCCCCAGCCAGCCCTGGGGGATTGCGAGGGCCATCTGAACCCCCATTAAACGGGCTTAGCTGCGCGTGGGGGAAGCCAGGTTTCGGTAAGCATCGCCCATGGGATGGAGCGGGCAGACCCACCCCGCTGCAGACACGGGGTGATGCCGGGGAAGGGGAGATGGGGTCTAAGCGCAGAAACGGGGATTCTGCCGGCCGCTTGCCGCTCACCGAGCACCCCTGCAGGCTGTTCCCACGGTACGCTTTCCTGTGGTGCCAAAGCCTGGCCCCAAGCGCAGAGGTGACCAACCTCTGCCCGGAGCCGATCTGCTCTTCCCCAGAGAGCTACAGGCTTTGCCACAGCCAAGCCAGGGAATTATTAGAGGAAATCTCTCTCCAAGCCTTGAATTATCAACCCTGGCCCAGCGTTCAGGGCTGTTTCCCCTTCTGCATGGTCTCTGGGAACTCAGCAGGCATTTGCAGTGCCTGTCCCCGTCCCCGGGACCCCTGTGAGACCCTTGGGGACTCTGGAGCCTGGCGAGAACCAGCCCCCTGCTATGGCTGGTTGTGCCTCGCCGTGGTGGGAGCTGTTTCCAGAGGACGGGTGTCACGAGGACGGGGCTACGCCATCCATCACACCCAGCACTAATTGGCTACCCTGCTTCGGAGGCCAAGGCATAAGCGGAGCTGCAAAGATTGATGTCCCTTCCCTGCAGCAGGAAAAACTCTGCGGGCCAGGGCTGAGGGTGGATCCCTGCCAGGGACCTGGGATTGCCCAGGTTTGCCTGTGCCAGCCTGCTCCTGGGGGTGAAGGCTTCCAGCCCAAGGTTCCCTGGGGGGGTGATGGTCACCCCAGCCGCCAACCCCTCTCCCGTGCTGGGACCAGGGTCGCTCCCTCCCTTCCCTCCTGCTCTGCTCTGGGAAATGTCCCCGGAGAGCGGCCAGCTGTGAAAAGCTGCAGCAGCTGGAATGTGGGAGGGAGGGCAAGGCTTCTGGAAAGCCAGAGGCATGGAGGAGCAGGACGTATCTGTTACCTCCCCGTGAACTGACACCTCTGATTTAACCCCGTGCATGCCTGGAATGCCCTGTCCGCACGTCTTCAGTCAACATCACCTCCTAACCTCAGGTCCCACCACTGGCTGCCAGATCCACAGCTGTAATTTCAAAAGCAGAGGCCTCGCAGGGATGCTGGACAGGATTCCTGGCTGCAGCGCTGTGGACAGGCTGTCTTGTTCTGTGGCTAAGCAGAGGGATTCATCACAGACGGGAGAATCACGCAGGGCTTTCGGGAGGTGATTTGGGATGAAAGCGTGTAGGTACGAATACGCTATCACCTCCGTGTTTTGTCAGATCTGGAGCACGGCCAGGAGAGGATTGTTTGCCGTGGCTCTGCTCCAAGCCAGAGGCACTACGATTGTTAACTCCCCCCCCCCACTTCCCCGGCCCACGCAATTCAGAGCCGGCCCAGCCGACTGCTAGGGGCAGTCCAGGGGAGGGAAAAACAACATTTTCCCACAAACCCGTGGCCTCACCCTTCCCCAGGCAGGGACAGGGCAGATCCTGTATCTGCTTGGGGCCCGACTGAAACTCAGCGCTACCCTCGCCGCCCTGGCACGGCCGGCTGTGTCCTCACGCCTATTGCCCGGCGGCAGGTCTGCGCCCAGCCCTGCCGCCGCTGCCAGGAATGCGGCTCAGCTTGGGCAACCGTGCAAACCCCGTGGGATGGGGCACCGTGAGGCTGCACCTGCTGGGCCCGCAGCCGGGACACCTCGGAGGTGCTGCCCTCTCTGCAAGAGCTTCTTGCCCCGTAAGATGGTGCTTGTTCCCCTGAGCCCATGTCCAGGGCAAGACTGGGACCCGCAGTCGTGAAGGCCAGGCTCTGTCTCTGCGTCCCCAGGCCGGCGGGGCTGGAGGACAGCCAGGGATGGGATCGCCTTCCTGCTGCAGAACGGGCAGCGCATCCTGGCGGTTAGCATCAGACGACACCAGCGTTTTAGTCCTGATTGCCCTTGATGTGCCTCAGTTTCCCCACCCATAATGATGCTAACGCACTGGACACTCACTTTACAGAGAAGCAGTGATGAGGGATAATTAATATTGCACCAGCCCTGCCGGCAGCTGGGGTTGCTGGCTCGTCCAGGAGCCCAAAGCAAGGTCAGGGCTCCCCTGTGGCTGCACAGGCAGGGCCCAGAAACTTACTGTTGGTGGACACAGGTCTGCTCCTCTCTCGTGTCTGGGACCCGGAGAGGGCGAGGTGGCCAAGGTGGGCTGCGGCGGTACAGGACGGTCTGCATGAACTGCGGTGGGCTCCGTGGCTTCTGGCTGTCAGGGGCAGAGCCCGGAGGTGCCAGCTCCGCTCCTGCCTCTGGGCGCTGGAAGGCCACAGATGGCCTCGGGGCTGCACCCGTGCTAAAGAGACAAGAGGAGCTGGAATGAGAAAACCGATCCCTGATGAAGCTGGGCCCTGGCCGTCCCCCAGGGCTCCAGGGAACACAATGCCTTTGTTTGGGACTTGGCCCGCACCAGGAGCCCTTCCCTTGCTCAGCCCCAAAACACCAACCCTTCAAAGGGCCTGCGCTCCCCCTCCCCTTCCCCCAGCAATGCTAATGTGCCAGGCCTCTTCTCATGAACCTTGGGAGAGATCAGGCTGGTAGACAGTTTCACCACTTGTTAAATGTGTGTTTAGCGATCTTGTGAGTAGACAAGAACAAATACAAACAAGCCAGGCGGGAGAGCCCCTGCCCCTCCGCCCTGCCTGGAACGCACCAGCCCCAAAGCCTTTCTTCTCTAACCACTTCAAACTTTCATTTCTTCTGAAGCCACAACAAGGCACACTTTGTAAAGCAAATGAGTAAACAGCAACTTTCAGCTTAAAAGGAAAACAAGGGGGAGGGACTGTTTTTAATTACTGGATTTTAAAAAGGGCTTTATTCGGTTAATTGCTTTCTGTTGTAAAATGTTCTTCTGCGCACAGCCCTGGTTCTAGCTGCATCGCTGCTGGCCAGATGGCATTGCAGAGGTAATGACAGCATGTGCGTTCGCTGCTCGGGCACACAAGTGCCTTTAACATTCACAGACAGTCCCCTGAGCCCTCCCAGCCTCATGGAAATGACACCAGGCACCAAGTTTTGCTCAGACATGACCAGTGGTTTGGCATGTCCAACTCACACCACTTCCAAAGGACCAGAGGAAGAGCAATCGGCACGCACAGAAAAGCCTCTGCAACATTTCAGGTCGAGTTCCCAAAAGGGCTAATTGCTGTTGATCGTCTTGGCTGCAGCACGTTACCTTCCTCGGCTGGGGTAATAACCGATGTTCGTGCGAGGTGCTGCGCTCAGCTCGGTCCTACCCGACGGGGCGCCTGTCTTTTCGAACAGGGGAGAGCGACAGCGCTGCGAAGTCTGGCACGGCAGCCGGCGTGCGTGTAGGCATGTGAGCATATACGTGTGCATGTGGCTTGGTGCAGCAACACGAAACGGATTCCAACTGTATCCCTGATGATCGCAACCAGCTTGGAAGATACCCCAAGTCCCTGTGGAGACAGAAGGCTTAAAAATAGAGCGTCAGCTAAGAGGTGCACGAAAGGCCTTCAGCAGAAGCGCCACCAGCGCAGAGCTGTGAAGCTGTTACTGTGCTGGGGACAGATGGCACAGGGAAGGGATGGGGAGAGGAGGCAGCGGGAGACTCTTCTCCAATTGGATCGGCCTCAGGAGGGGAAGAGCGAGGAAAGGAA